TCCCGAAGGCGCAATTAATCGTTGGCTATGACGGGCCGAAGAAAGACGGGCGACGGGCCCGGGGCGCGCGCGGGGGGCGGGGGGCGAGGGTGGTGGCGCAGGGCGGCGCGTTTAAAAGAGGTGAGAGCCCAGGTTAATTCTTTTAAGTTTTAAATGCCGCCTCATCTCGCGAGCCCGAGCCGTTCATTGGAAACGAATACCGGCAGTGGCGTGGCGTGAATTGCGATATATCGATTGTTATGCCATTTAAACCTATAGAAAAGGATCGATAGATAGGGTGTTCGCAGCGAACACCTTGATAATCGATTCTTTAGCACAGTTTCAAATGGGGAAATATCGATAATTGATTACTCGCGGCTCGCCGCTGAGACCAGGGAGACCGCAGAGGAGGAAGCCAGGAGATTTAATGGTGTCCCGCTCCCGCACGAGCCCCCACCGCCGTTGTCAAATCCGTTATTCCTTTTTTCGTTTCGTCTTTTGTTTTTCTGGTTTTTTTGGTGGAGAGGGGAGGGTGGGGGCTTCACAGGAGAGTTAAGACGTCTTGGGTCCTGGGCGCAGACACTGGTGTCCCTATACGGCCTATTGTCTTCATAAGTCGTTTCAGGGGATTTGTCCCGGGGAAGAATCCCACTTACGAAGTCGGGAAAAATATTGAGTTGATCTAATTACATATAGAATTAATACTGAGTTGAAGTTAATATTGAGTTAAAGTTTATATTGAGTTGATCAATTTTCTTCCCAGTGCCAAGTATGGTCCATGTACCCATAAGACCAAACTGAGAGAGGAGGAAGAGATGAAAGCGAACCGTGAGATATTATATTGTTTACTCGATTGTTCGTCTTTTCTACTTAAAATGATTTGTCTAATAGTTGATCGTGATCAATTATAATCTTATTTTCAGTTAAAAACACGATATTTGCTAATTTATCTCCCCGGGCCAACTTATCGCAGAAACGTGAGAGCCTCGTCCCGTGGAGACGGTAACTAGGAAACCCCTAAGTTCCATTCCTGCGATTTTAACTTGGGACAAATCTCATGAAAACGTCTCGTGGAGACAGGGTCTTTTCAAGTCCACGCCATGTCCGACATTTTTGACCGATACGTTCCCGTGTCACGCCGAATTACAAGGTAAATTTAGTATTTCGAAAGCAAGTGAATAAACTGAAGCGTGTCCAGTAGCGTGGCGTGCTTTGCGATGTATCGATTGTTATGCTGTTTAAACCTATGGAAAAGGATCGATAATCAGGGTATTCGCAGCGAACACCTTAGTAATCGATTCTTTACCATAGGTTTAAATGACAGAACAATCGATATATCGCAAAGCACGCCACGCCACTGAGCGAGTCACATTATATTTCAATAGACACTGTTAAATCGAATGAAAAAACCAGCAGGAAAAGTTGCAGGAAAATACGGAGCATAGATCCGAAATTGTATAAGTAAACTGAAAGGGCAGTCGTGAATTTTCGAAAGAACAAATTACTGAAACATGCTGTAAATTTACTCATGAATAGAACAATTTCATTGAAGATCCCGCCCAACGTCAAACTTTTATTAGAAAATTCATAATTTTGAAGTTTGAAACTTGGCTGCAACGGGAGAAAAAAAATTTCCCGGCCATGAAAAAGAACAGGAAAGTCGTGCCATACCGGGGGAAAAATATACTTAAAATTGAGGTCAATCCAAAAAGAAGGGATCGAAGGAGAATTCAGTTTCCATAAGTGAGCCTTTTTCCCGCAAAATCCTAAAAAAACCACAACATCGCGATTATTTCTCATAAAAACTTCGACAACCGATTTCTAAACCACGCGATTTCAGTATCCGTTGGTGCCTATATGTTTATGTCTCAACTTAAAGTTTTTCGTTCACGACCAACTGCGATTTAAACTCCATTCAGGAACACCGTGCGTGGTTAACAAAACGTGATACAACTATTCGAACTCGACGGATGTCCGTGTTGCATACACGCTTGAAGTAAGGCGCACTGGATTGAGAGAGCGAGACTTCAGTTTCACCCGCACTGCAACAGTATCTGATTTTTTTGATTTGTGAATTTTCCTTTAGCGTCACATTTTAAAAAATCAAGTACCTAGTTAGGAGACTGTAATATTGTCAAAAATCCCATCATCTATTTTCCAAAGTTTCTTATGATGTTAATAAACGCAATCATAGACGCGACGATTGTGGTGAACAAATCGGCGATACAACTATTTGACCTCGCCGGATGTTCGTGTTGCATACTCGATTGAAATGAGACGCTCTTGGCTTGAGAAATCGAGACATTCTGTTTCACCCGCATTATAATAGTGGCTGGCTTCCATGACTCATGAACGTTTCATTGATGTCAAATTTAAACAAGTGGGAAAGTTCTAATACTGTCGTATTAGAAAAGCGCTCATGTGTTAGTCAATGTATTTAGTGAAGAAAGGAAGGATAAACTCCGTCGACTTGGTTGGGAAATGGAAATAAAACATCAGCTGATAGCAAACAAAGGTTACCAAGGAAACCGTAAACGCGTTTTTTCGTTTCCCGAAAATGATAGTCACCGTTGAGCTCATCAGGCGCGTTTTTTTAGGCTTCATTTGAGTTCAACGATCAATTTCGATAAGAATTACTCTACCGCTAAGAAATTTTCTTATAGACAAACGATCGAAACTACCTGCGCATTACGTTAAAAGCGTAAAATACGGTTTTCATAGCTTTATTTATTTTAAAACTGGACCCCCCCCCCCAAAAAAAAAGCCTACATATCGATGAGCTGGTGCGCCATTTAAACGAATTAGCACTAGTATACTAGTACTCTAGAGGCAAGTCGAAATCAAAAAGCGCTACCTATCGGCTGAGCGCTTAAAAGAAGGAAGCTGTTGATGAGCAGTCATTTTGACAAAAGTCCTAACGTCGATTTTCTGAAGGTCAGTAACCCCTGCGGTTGAGCTCCAACAGCGGTTAAGCTAACTTCATAAGTTGAGAAACAAAAAGAAACAATTATTAACTTTTTAATATAAATGAAGTAAAAGACTCTTACTTGTCTGTGACAGATTTTGGTGGGACTGCTCCTCCAACACACACGACCTTCTTGTGTATAATTCCCCTCGATTCCAAATCCTGAAAATTGAAGAAAATGGGAAAAAATGAAAAAAACTAAATTACTTTTTTGGAAAGAAAGGCACTATCTTTTTAGGGAGAGACGTGCTTAGATCTGCCCTTCTTTACGTTGATGAATTGAGTATGGAGCACATAGGGAAAAATAAAAATAAAAAAAAGAGAAAAAAGTGGGAGAAAAATGCACCTTTTGGGGTAAAAAGCCTGGATCATCCCTTCCTATCTATGTAGCAGAATCCAACGACTGTTATTCATAATGTTCACATTGCGCCCTCGTAGTTCCGTTAGCCGTGTAAGGATGGCTACGCAAGTGTCCGGCATTTGACTGTATGCTCACGTAGTTCAAACTATCAGTCGACATCACTACATTGGATCTCTAAAAGCGAATTGTATTTCAAGGTCTGGACCTCCTGGATAAGTTCCGTCCGGTCGTGTCTGATTAAAAATTAAAAGCCTTATTGACATCGCTGCTAACGAATTCGATCAGACCTGCTACATTAGATGGATCTATAATCTTTTTATGACTACCTCGCGAGGTGGTGCCAAAATCGCGCATCAGCGTTGCGATTCTTAAGTCACCGAATCGGAAGTTGCAAACTCAAATCGACTGCGTAAAGCAGAAAAAACAAGCCACATCAGCTATTGCCAACTTTAATCGGGCGATAAATTCTTTTACACGAAAACGGTTATGCGAATTTAAGTGTAGATTTCGGTAAATTTTATACATGGTAAGAGACAAATTCTTCAAAATTTTCAAAAGAATCTGCACAAACGTTCTCTTGTAAAAAATTAAATTGTGCAGTTAAATTTGACAAAAGCTGGTCTGGCTTGGTTCCTTTCTGCTGAACGCGGTCCGAATAAAACGCAGCTGAGAAGTTCGAGAGCCAAAGTATGATTCCGAACTCCAAACTAAAATTCACTTTTAGGAGGTGTGAAAAGACGAATTCGATAGTAAGTATCAAAACTGACCAGAATTCAAGTTTGAAGTTTTTTTTTTTTAGCTTGATCAAAGACTCGGATTTGCGTCTTTGGATTTAAAAATTCCCTGACATTCGAAGGTTTTCCAATATAAATTGTATTTCCTGATTTCATTAATTCAAAAATTCCTGGGTGGTTTTTAACCCAGATCAAAAATAATTTTGCGTGAGTTCACTAGAGCCAACATGGCCAGCAAATTTTTCTATTTTCCCAGAGACACCTCCGTGAATTGCAAGACATTAATCTGCGATGGGAGGATTCTCGCCGGCTACCCAATGCGTGAAAAGTAGCTATCCACGGCTACATAAGACGTCGCTTCAGGCTAACTGAAGAAAACAGATGTGTTGGCATTCGAAAGGTAGAGAGAAAGAGGAAAAATTTCAATTGAATCATCGGATTGGCGGCTTACGCCGCGCCTCACGGCAGCTTGAAAAATCTGTTTTAGAAGTTTTAAAAGTTGTTGACCGGTCACTCGGTTGAAAAGGTCACCGTGCTATTTGCTTTACGGCTATCTCAATTTTCAGATGACTGAGATCATTTTTAGTTTTACAGATGGCATGTCTATGAGACAATAAACAGTGCAAAATAGCTGCGACAAACACGGGGTAATAGTTTGATTCAACGACAAAATACACGAATAAACGCTGGAAAAATGAGCGTGACGAGGATGAAATAACAAAACAACTCAACCAGCACATTTTAGGACAATTGCATGCCCACTCTCAATTAGAAACATAAGATAAACATTAAAAATTTTTAATTTTCTCCCGCACTGAACAGAAAAATTGCGTGGCCATCTGTTTCGTTATGTTTTTCTTGCTTATGCGTTTACACTGAACCCTGATAGAGGTATTGTATGCCTCGGTCAATTTCAGGCTCATTTTCTGTTAGTGTATTTTATGCAGGAATTACACCATTGCGTTTTTTAACCTTTTTGATTTTTAGCTTTCGATTCTACTTGAAAATGGGGATGCGTTTGGCCCAAAATGTCTTGCTGAATGTTTGGCTGAGTCTTGAAATTGATAGACAAAGCAATAGACAAAGAATGTAAAATGGATGTAGAGGGATCCTATTGGTGGAAGCGGGTGGTTGCAATGGACAAAGAAGGTAGATAATACACTGACTAACGGCAATCCACAAGAGACCCTATAGTTAGTCCATCATTTGCTCCCTTAGTCTCTGGGAACCAACCATGTAACCACAAGGATTGCTCCATACTCCTTAATCATTCGTTGTCTATCGCTTTGTCTATCAATTCCAACAATCTGACTAGCTGTGTTTACGTCTTATTTTATGCTTGTTGTACCCACACTGGAAAAAAAACACATTGGATCTAGAGTCCAGACTCTTAAAAACATCGACAAGAAAAAATACTCTTGATTCAATGGATTTTTGCTTAAATCAAGAACCAAGCATCTTAATTTGACCGGATTTCTTTTTGATTTAAGCTTGAAGCTGATTGAATCAAGAGTATTTTTTCTTGTCAATGTTTTCAAAAGTCTGGACTCTAGATCCAATGTGTTTTTTTTCCAGTGCATTTGTTATTGTCTTCTCATTTTGTAAAATAATCCAAAGAATTCGGTTTCTTTCGGATGAACACCATCTTTCTGTTCTCCACTCGGCAACATCAGATGAAGCAACGGAGCGATTGAATCACACTGAGCGACGCGCGGAATGCGTTAAAGGTTTATTAAACAGAGTTGATTGATAGAATACACGCGGCCAATAAAAATAATAACCCGCGAGTCAAACGCCATTGGCTGATGCTAAAAAACAGGGTGAGAAGGAGCATCGAAGGAGGGAGCGATTGCAGCCAAATTTCAAAACAAATTGACACGGGGAAATTATGGTTTTAGGCGTTAAAACACGGACCGAATAGACGGGAGCGGGTGCATTATACGGTTGTCCTAAGGAAGAACGCCGTATGAGCCACCAGGCGTTGTCTAATTTCCTTCGACTAATCGCGGATTCTCAGGAAAATCCGTGAATACTTCTATTCCGAGTTTTCAAAGAGTTTCGTTCGTGATTAGATCTAACAAGTTTGAAAATTTCAAGGAAAAATATTCATAACTTCCTTTAAAAAAAATTGATTGCTGAGAGGAAATTTGGCAACAGTTGAATGTTCATACGGCGTTTTTACTTAGCACGGCAGTATAGCTGCCGCAATTAAGGCTAACGTCTCAATTCTCAATTACGCCGATAATATCGCAGCATCCAGTGCTATCTGCCATTCCAGGGATTCTCAAACTGAGTGGCGCCACACTGTAGAACCAAATTACAAGAAGGACACAGTTTTTTGGTTCAAAAGCTTGCACAGTAAGAAAAAATAAGCGATATTTTGTTTTAATATGGGTTTAAAGCACACAGTGACCTAAACGTGCTTTTTTGTGGCTAGTTTATAGGGGGGTTACATTGACGCAATCTTTGAGTTGAAAACTTGCCCCCTCGTTAAAATCAGGCATGAACCACCAGGATCGAACCTAGATCGGAGGAATGTTAGTCCAATGCACTGGCCACTCGAAAGTCACAACCTCTTGGTGGCATAATGAGAAACAAGAGTGCGTGCTTTCAGCAGGACAATTTCTGCATCCCCAGATGTCATTCAGTAACCTAAGGTTTCGGTAGATTTGACCAAGAATGTTTTGGAGCAACCATATCGATTTGGCTGACCTGGTCAAAAAATTACTAACTTGTAGTCAAAAAGTTCCTTGGCATTCATAGCGATTCATCTGTGAAAAAAAACGATGAAAAAATACGAGAACGAGAAAATCTAGAGAAATAGAAGAGCTCGGTTCAATATTTTGTTAATTTCCATCATTTCTACAACGATACTAAAAACACCTTCACCTAACGGATAATTTTCAATTGAGTCCCGGATTTTTCACTGCCTAAGAACCTATTGTCAAAAATCTACAGGTCCCTCAAAAAAGAGGCAGAAAAAGGTCATTTTAAATAGAACTCCTCGCGATTTAGAAATTGAAATACGGCTGTAAATTGATTGTATTGAGTGCTTAAACGCGAACTAAATTGCAAGTTTCCAACAACCGCAATTGTGTTGAAAGCACTAATACGGATATAAAAGCCGTCTCTGAAACAGGTAAAGTGGCCCCGACTGACGCTGCCCGATCTACGCACAGATGTGCCTGCTCGAACGGAAAGGGTGCGGGCTCACAGCGTGTAATTCACTTACGCTCATTACGATCGGAACCAATCCATTTACTCCCGCCTTTGTCGTACACAGCACACGATTCGTCGGTTTACGAGGGCACGGGTATCGGTCACGAAACCGAAACTCAAACAAAGGGGGGGACTGGGAACCCCTATACTATCGATTATGGCGGTTTGGCTCCGCTTTTATTTAAATAGTACGATTAAGTATTATTGAATATTGAGCCGCGAGGACCGGACCGGGGAGTGTGGCACATCGCGGCGTGTGGTGCCGGGGCCCCGGGGGACGGCGGGGGGGCGGGGGGGGCTGGGACCCCACGAGGGGACGAAGGATGCTGAGCCTCGACTCAGAGTCGGAGTCGGTCTTAATTAAACTGTCAAGGTAAAAACGCGGTCCGTCAGGCGGTGTGTTCATAACTCATTAGTCGCAAGTTATCGACTAAACAGGGCCCTGAGAGCACCACTGCTCGACTGTGCAGGAACGTCGTAACTGCATCCCTAGGTTGCCGAATTTCCTCTCGGTAAAATTGTAATTTACCAGGAAATTAGAGCGCATTTTCCTTCCGTATTTTTCCGATGATTTTATTCGCAATTTTAGGTTAGGTATCTGAAAAATTCAAGGGAGAATATTCGTGGCTTCCTCTCCAAATAAAGATTTTATCGGGGAAAATTCGGCAACATTGGAATGTCCATACGATGTTTCACCTTACCACGGCATACCGATGCCACTTGCCTATGCTACCTTGCTAGGGAAAACGCCGTATAAGCCCTCCGGATGCTGCTAAATTTCCATTTGATAAAATACGCTTTTCCGGGAAATTTGTGAACACTACTTCTCGAAATTTTCAGTTAATTTTATTCGTAATTTAATTTAGCACACCTGAAACTTTCAAGGCAAATTTTTCATAATTTTTCTTAAAAATATATATTTTCATTGGGCCTATAAGACAACGTTGGAATGCAAATACTGCGTTTTTACTGAGCATGGCGGATGGTTGCGCCCAAGCGCCCAGGCTGGTGCACCTCTCAAAATCAATTCCGAGAAAAAATTCTCTGCCCTCCCGCGCTGTGCTTTGCCACTCCGCCATAGACTCAATCGGGACTTTCTGGCTCTTCACTTCACGGCACCCCACCTTCACTCTGCTCCTATCGGTTAGCACAACGCGGCTTTTTTGCGATTAAGTTCAAATGAAAGCTGAGAATTTTCCTTCAAATCAAAAGAAAATTTTGTTGAATATTTCCGTGGCTCCTATACTTTCTTCATTTTCCGACTACCTGACCCACCCTGACTTCAAATACTGAAAAAGAAACTCCGGCCGTGGGAACCGCAATTACGGGCTATATAGACCTTTTCGTCCGTTCCGGGGTCAAAGGCCAATAATTCCGGCTGCTGGAGGCGTAGCTTCGATTGCTCCGGGTTCAGAGGCCGAAGCTACGGCTCCAGCAGCCGGAATTTTCGGCCTTTGAGCCCGGAACGGACGGTATGTCTATATAGTCCGTAATTGCGGCTCCCACGGCCGGAGTTTCTTTTTCAGTGAAATTTCCGAGTTTCCTGACTCTCGACCTTAAATTCTACTGATAAGTATTTCCTTCAATTACTCTGATTTTTGCTGAAATTAGAGAGAAAGTTTGATTTTTTAAAGTTCAAAATTATTAAGAAAAATACTCTCATGATTTCTTCTCGCTTCCTCGGGTAGCACCGGCGGAACTATAGCTCAGCCGACAAGCCTACTCACAAATTTCTGACTTTTCCGGGTTGCCGTATTTAGGTCTGATTTTCTGGGTTTTCCGATCCACCAAAAACCCTTTAAATCCTGCAAATCAATTCCAGATGTTTCAAAAAGAATCTAAAGCTTTAAAGAAATTATTTTTAGAATAACTGGACACTCCAAGTTTTTTCTTGAAACGACTGCGGAGTCCTCGTGCGGAGATTGTTGATTGGAGGTTGCTATTCAAATAAAACAATTTTTTTAAAAACTCTGAGCAGGGGTAAACAGCTAGCATGGTCTGAAGTTTTGATAGGCCAGATTTCACTTACGAAGCAAGGCCAGAAGCTGTGAGTATAGAAAAAGTCATGAGCATTTATCTCATGCTCCTAGTACACATTGATCAGACATCTATAATTGAAAATGTTCAATGTTCATACATGAGAAGTTTTTGAACATTATTGTTTTTGAAATTCTACAAGATTCAACTATGAAAACACGATTCTGTAAAACTAACTTCGGTGGCATGGCCAGAAAATCAAGGAAGGCTCACTGAGAGGAAAGGGGGGGTCTAAAAGGTACAAAATTCCTGAGAATCACGAAAAATAACGTTTAGAAGGCGGAATTTCCAGCCATGGAGGGGATGGGGGTCAAGCCCCCTTCACAAGGTCATCAATTACCGTATCCTTTCCAAACACTCGAATTGAACCTTGAATGCCATTGAACTGCTACTATTGCTACATTACTTTGAAAATTATTATATACATAATTTATGATTGACTGAAATGTCAAATACCATCAAAAAAACTTTCGAGGAAGAGCAAGAAGGGAGGGAATAATAGAGTGACACGCGTTACGGAATTGAACGCGCCACGACATTTCGTCCAATCATGAGCTAGCTTCTGCATAAATTTGAGAGGGATTATGTTGTAGCCACAGAGGTGTTGGCATTCGGACGAGATTGGAGATTACATTTTAAAAATTCCATGCTGAGCTTGAAAGAGGATCTATGTCTTGACCAATAGGATGAAGGTACCTCGCAAAATTGGGCACAGTATTTGCATATACTTAAATTGCAAATTCTCATCGCGAACATGACCGTGGGGTAATAGTTGAGATGAAAAATGGTTGCTCACCTTTGGTTTGTAGTACTTTTGGGTGTTGCAGAGATCGATGACTAGACCTAAATTTGGTATGGCCTTCACGAGATCGTCCAGTGTAAACCTGAAAGCAGAAACAAAAATGGTTCTTTTAGTAATAGAATTACAGCAGGGTGTCTACTAGTGCGTCATCGTCTAAACTTATTTATTTTCAATTACATATTCATTGATTTTTCAAAATATTTTTCAGAAAGATCCTCTATTCAGAGGTTTTCCTGAAATGTTTGATTTTTCATTATCTTCGTCCCACTTTTCCCTACGACACAAATTCATGAAATCGGAGTTCGTTAAGTATTTAATACTTCTCAATGGAATTTTTCCAAAACACCTTGCTTAACAAACGCTTGATATCATCAAATTTTCTGACCATTGTTTTTTTTTCTGTATAATAAAAATAAAATTTTCTTGGATCCAGAGTCCAGACTCAAAAATTTGCCAAGAAAAAATACTCTTGATTCTATCGGATTCTTGCTTGAAATGAGAGCCAAACCTTCTAATTTAAGTGGATTTCCTGTAGGTTCAAGCAAAAATCTAATTGAATCATGAGTATTTTTCTTGTGAATCTTTTTTGAGAGTCTCGACTCTGGATCTAAGAGCCTTTATTTTTCCAGTGTATTACTTAACTAAGGTTGACCTCTTTTTAGATTCCACCAAAAATCCAATTGAATAACACTGAACAAAAATTCTCGGCGTTTTCACCAAGGTCCGTTGGTACTTTTACCACCTCACTTTTTTTTACCAATTATTGGTAATTTTACCAAGACAGACGGGTAAGCTTACCTAAAAACCGGTATTTTTACTGTTTTTTTTCGGGTAAGAATTTCACTTTTATTGGTAATCAATTCCCGGTAACTTTGCCATTTTATCTCGGTAATTCTACCACAGTCGATAAAAAATATTGGCGTTTTTACCAAGGTCCAGTCAAATTACCGAGAAAGTTCAATAATTTTACAGAGATTTCTCGGTAAAATCACCAATTCCATAAATGGTAATTTTACCAACAAAAAACTGGGATCAAATAGAACCCTGAATTCTTGGTAATTTTACCCTTTTCTTCGTAAATACAACGAGATTTTTTTTTTCAGTGAATGAGTATTTTTCTTGTCAATTTTTTCAAGAGTCTCGATCTCGACTCTGGATCCAAACGACTCTTTTTTCCAGTGCTACTCGTAGGGTTGACTTGACACTCGGGGTGGGAAACTTATCGGCGCGATGATGATAAACACCCCGGAGCTTGGCGCCAAATATTCATAGATCACAGGCTGTCAGACTAGGCGAGAAAGAATTAATAAGAAAGGGTGCTCGATGGAAAACAAATCATTCGTGGCCCACGATTCCGATCCTAATCGATTAAAAATGAAGCAAGCTAAAAGCTTTTCGGTGGCCCGGCTCCGCGCTCAGCGGCGTGGCGGGAATAATCGATTATCGATATCTCACCGTTTGAAACTATAGTAAAGAATCGATTACTAAGGTGTTCGCTGCGAGCACCCTGATAATCGATCCTTTTCCATAGGTTTAAATGGCATAACAATCGATATATCGCTCACGCCACGCCACTGTCCGCGCTACTTGTGATATGGGTTCGGGGGTCCAGATCTCCCGATCCGCCTAGAATGTCGGGTGCGCTTGTCAGCGGGGCCCACGGGTAATATATGGGCCCGCGCCCATCATCCCCTCGTTTCGGAGGAGGCGCCCCACGCCTACGCCTACCCCGTGTCGGCTTGTCGGGGGAATTCGCCTTCTGTTTCGAAGGGAAACTGCATGATGATGCACCAAACGGCAATAGTGGTTGAATCTCGGCGCAATGTTGCCGAGAGGTTTTCAGACAAGGTGTGAATCAGGTTGATCAGTAATTTTTAATTAACTGGAAAAACGCATCTATCGTGCTGTTATGATAAAGATGAAAAAAAGATGAAAAAGTATACCGAAACACGCATATTGTTGAATAAGGTTTATTGGCTTGGATGCATTTCGGGCTTAACCCATCTTCAGCAAGCACTTAAAACAAAACACAGAAACAATTTAATTACAGAAAAGAATTGTCACAATGCATGATGGAGAAGAATAGCGAGAGGCAAAGCGAACTAAAACACTTGGGAACTGGTCAAAAATATTCAACAATATGCGTGTTTCGGTATACTTTTTCATCTTTAATTTTTAATTCTTGAATCAAGAATGAAATCAAGAAGAGGAACATGGCTCACATGAATTTTCATATCTTTTTTGGAATGATTATAAACCAATAAAAACGCGTTCAAAGTTGCGTGTTTTGTAAGATGTCGTATGTGATGGAATTCAGCACCTTAGGCGCATACCAACGGGCCACTACATAAGGTCAAAATCTTACAGAAAAAACGGGAAACAAAAAGAAAAGTTTGGAGACCTCCTGAACGAGGTGTCGAGAAGTATTGTTAACATAGATCAAATGGGAATGTTTCAGTGAATCCTCTGTACAGTGCGAAGCAAATTCCTAAACATTGTCAAAGGAATCCGCACAAACGTTCTTTTGTAAAAAAAAAAAAAAAAAAAAAAAANAAAAAAAAAAAAAAAAAAAAAAAAAAAAAAAAAAAAAAAAAAAAAAAAAATAAATAAATAAATCGCCCAGTTTTTGACAATAGCTGATGTGACTGAGTTTTTTTATGCTAAACGCATTCCATCAATTGGCCCATTGATGTGCACCTGAAATGCTGAAACTACATCGAATACGACGTAAAAATAGAACAATTTTCATACATTTTGCTACATCTGCCAAAATCAGTGTTGCAACTTATTGAAGCATTAAACACACAATCCCGTCAGATGCAATATACAAGTGGATGATTTAAGTGCAGAGCGGATTTTATCTTCTCTTTTCTTAGAGGAAGCTTCACTCGTTAAGACCGGAATCGATGATTTTACAAATAGACGCCTATTCCATTGTTACGTGACGTAGCCCTGGACGCCTGGACGCCCCCTGTAACGCACCCGACGCACAGGATCGGACCCTTCTACCTCTTAGAGCGTCACGTTTTTTGTAGAGTTTACGGTTCTTAAGGTGATTCGATGGACGCTACATTTTTTGTCAGAACGGGATGCGATATATCGCATCAATTGGTTCCATTTTTTCAGCTACTCGTCATTTTTCTCTAATTTTGAGATCGCAGTTCTGTTGTCAGGAGACTAAAGCACTCACGTACCAATTTTAACAAAGAAATTCAACGTAATAAAGGTGTGGTTTTTTTAAAGGGAAAATATCGCATTCGAGTGCAATTTCGATATCAGTATCGAATGCAATGTTTTCTCTCTAAAAAAACCACGCCTTTATTGCGTTGAATTTCTTTGTTAAAATTGGTAAATGAGTGATTTAGTCTCCTGACAACAGAATTGCGATCTCAAAATAGGAGAAAAATGACGAGTAGCTAAAAAAATGGAACCAATTGATGCGATATATCGCATGCCGTTCTGACACAAAATATGGCGTCCATCGAATCACCTTGAACTTTTTTTCTCCGAGTGCAATCGTCCTTTTCACAGCCAACGCGGCAAGATTGCCCACCCTGAACGCGGTGAGGGTGAGGGCGGCTCCACCGCGAGTGATGAGTAGTAAATATTAGAGTCAATAATTGGCTCCTGATTTAAATTCAGATGCCGGGCATTAGAATAGTTTCGGGGGCTTGAAACAAAACCAGCGAGGGATTAGTAAATGAGCCGGTAACGCGGCAAAGGTGTCGGGGGAGGCCGCTCCAATTTAAGGTGGTAATGAATCGACTCGATAGAGATGTGAAGCCTTAAGGTTGCGCCTTCGCCCGCCAAAGGCTCCGCGTTTAAGGGTGGCCCATTCGTCATAATTTCATTAGTGGGCCCTCGCTCCTCCGGGGAGAGAATCGCCTCTTCATATCTTCCAACGAATACTCGCGTGAAATATAGCATAGGCCTGCCTTCCTAACACCTCGGTATCGCGGTTGAGAGAGGAGCACTGCGAGAGGGTTGTAGGCACGGTGGAACAATGCACTTGTGTTTGAAAAGGGGTCATTTCCGCTGTATGAGCGGGAGGCGTCAAAACATTAGGATTTCTCGGGTGAAAAATTAAGTGTGGTGGAGAGAAAACGCTCACTCGGGCTGCTACTGAATCAAAAATTTTGATAAGCCTCTGAGAACCAGGGCACTTATATACGAAAAAGTTGATGAGCGCATCGATCTTCTATAATTTTGACATAATGCATTCCTCGGCCTCTTGCAAACTTCGGCTAGAGCAAAAAGAAGAGTTATTTCTTGTAAGAACTAGTTAAAAAATCACGATGAGCTCGTCGAGAGAGTTTGAAGTGCACTCCCAACTTCACAATTTTCGTAAGGAAAATGTATTTTTTAAGCTTCCCGCTTCAAAAACGATACCACGGCTCAGGTGATCATTTCGCCAGAGGAGTCATTCCATCCAACCCATGCGCACAAGGATGCTACACAATATTCAACATGGCCGCCGCGCACAAATCGTGATAAAGCACCATGGTCTTTATCAACGCAAAGAAATTGTAAACATAAACACGCCTGTTGATAAAATCTCGTCTCGCCACGTGTGTTTTGGCGGGTTGGTGTCGGCCAGGATGAATGATGCGCGTCCTATATAAATAGCATCCTATAGCGCGCAAGGGTTGATAACGACTCTTCTTGCAAAATGTTCACCTGTGCAGTGGTATTATTTCTGAAACGGGAAGCTTAAAAAACACATACCTCTTGCGCTGATTGTGAGATTAGGAGTGTATTCCAGACTTTCCCAATGCGCACATCATGATTTTTGAGTCATTTTCTATCGGTACTTGACAACTTTTCTTTTTGCTCTAGCTGAAGTTTGCAACAGGCCGATTGGAATTGGTTTTTTGCGCGGGAATATTTCGTTATATCGCAGTCTTTGAATGGAGATGTTGCATGTGTGAGGAATTTGCGATTTGACTATCGATTCTTCTGTAAAAATTCGCGAGAAACACAATGGTGCCACTGGTTTTCTCTGAAATCAACTCCCAAGCTCAAAAAAAGCTTTCAAGTTGAGGTCTAAATGGAGGGGATATCCCACGCTATCCTGAGAGTCCA